CACCCTCATAGACGCCGAGTGTCACAGCCTGCTGACTGCTGAGTCACGATTTCAGAAAAGCCAGAAGAGCAAATTCCGTATGTCCTCCTGCCACAGAGGCCTTCCATGGGTGGCCCAGCGGCCCCATCCAGGCCTTGCTGGGAGCCCAATTTATTACATGGGGGAACCAAGGTTCCTAGGAGACCCAAAGAGTAACGAATGTGGCTCGTCCAGTGCAAAGGGTCTTCAAGGCTCAGCCAGGTGAAACCAGCCCTTCCTCAGCACCTCCAAGGTGTCAGCATGGATAAGCTGACCCCAGGTGGGCCTGCTCGAAGCAGATGCTCAAAACACTTGCTGCACACATGGGACTCTGGTGGGTGGGTGCTGTCACAGGGGCATGAACTGTCACCTCTGTCTATAGAAGGGAACGGGCGTGCGGAGACTGGGGGCTTCCACAGGGCCATCTGGGTGGGAAATGGGAGATCTGGGCAACCCCAGTCATCCGGCCCCATCGGAACACAGAAACCTTGGTCAGTGTTCTTCTTCCTTCCAGTTCTTTCTGCTCTTTGCATTTTTCTCTACACTTGACTCCTTTCCCTCGGTCAGCTATTCCAATGAGCTTCAACCTGAAGGGTCTTCCGCTGAGGCAGCCTCCTTGGCAAGACTCAGGCAGATTAGCAAGAGAGGGACCGCTAGGGAAAGGGCTGCCCCCCACCTCCACCGCAGCTCTGGGTCCCCGTGACGGGGTTCCCTGTGGTTGGAGAGTGTGCAAAGTTATGGCTTCTTCCAAAGCCTCAAAAGCTCTGAACCTTCATTGTCACCAATTAAGATAGTATTGACAAGAGCGCCTTGAAGTGAACAAACAGGTGTAAATGAGACCTGGCCCTAACCGTCAGCCGTTGACTCTCTTCTGTGATTCCGCAATAGAAACAAGTACTTTAGCGATAAGATAGAGCTTCAGGTCTCAGTAGAACGTTCCAACCATAAACCCAGTGCAAAATGTTATATGCCAGTGAGCTAGTAAATTGCTCCTCCTGGGGCTCTCCCCTGATGGGAAAGGCGGCTGAACCAGATGTCTGGCTGCGCCCGCCCCAACATGTGGCTCCTGGTACCCCTCCCGCTGCCCGGCCGCCTCCGCCTCATCTCCGCGGGGACCGCCTCACTTCGGCCCGCGGCGCCCCTGCCCTGACGCATCGCAACAGCTGCTTACTGCTCCCCTGGCTTTCCACTCCCATCCGTTCTCCGATGTTTTGCCAGATCCTTCTAGAACTCATGTCTGATGTCTCCCTCCTGCCTGTGATTCTCCACTGTTCTCAGGATGAGCCCCCCTCACCGCCTCCCGGCCCCAAACCTGGCTGGATCCACTCCTCTGGGCCTACCTTCCCGCTCTAGCTTGACGGAACGGCCTGGAACACCCTGGGCTCACAGCACCCTTCCGTAAAAGCCCTTCCTCGCCTGCCTGGAAGCTGTCCTCCTCTCTGCACCCCCGGGGAGATTTTCTCCTCGTTGAGTCATCCTGGGTGACCTGCTGAGTCATCTGGTCCAGCCCCTCTTTGTGTTTGCTCGGCAGCGTCTGATCTTCCATCTCATCCTCTCAGCCAGGGCTGGCCGGCATCTACCCGCACAGCTTTGGCACGGGGAGCTCACTCCCTCTGAGGCACCTTCAGGCATCTCTGGAGAGTCACTGCTGAGAGCAAGCTTCTGCGTTGGGAGTGAGTTCCCTCCCACCAGCCTTTGCACTCAAGTCATGAAAAAGCTCGGCCCCTTCCCTGCCCAGCCCTGGAGAATTACAACGTCCACCCTAGGCCTTCCCCTTTCTAATCTCTTAACATCCCAAGTTCCCGAAAGGCCAAGTCCCTCTGTCTTCTTTCCCTGCTCACCAAAGATCAGGAAATGTTCCCAAACCTCCTGGTTTCTTTTTTGTGAGGGTCCCTTCCCTATCCTGGCCGTGGAGTGGACCCTGCATGCACTCCAGGTGCCTGCTTGCTTTCTAGTGTGTCTGGTTTCCAGGATAAATGATCATCCCCCAGGCACGGAGTAATGGCTGCGGACTGGTGCGGAAACACCACCTCCTTCATTCCAGAAACTGCTTCTATTAATGCAGCCTGAGGTTGCATTAATTTCTTCTGGCAGCCACATCAGGCTATTAACTCACCCTGAGTGGCTGCCTGGACTCTCCGGAACCTCCCCCCACGCCCACCGTGCTGGTATCTCCCTAGGGCAGGGCTTTCTAATTCTCCCTCCCCATCTGTGCTCCTTTAGCAACTACAGAACATGTACTGAAGCACCTACTTTTAGGCATTTTACCTCTAATCCTTAAAACAATCTCGGAAAGGAAGGACAGGCAGGCCTCGTTTTATGGCGCTGACTGCTGTGCTTCGCCGGTATTGTACTTCTTACAAATTGAAGGTTTGTGGCAACCTTGTGTCGAGCGAGTCTATTGGCGCTATGTTTCCAATAGCATTATTTTAAAATTAAGGTATGTACATTGTTTTTTAGACACAATGTCACTGCACACTGAACAGGCGACAGTGTGTGTAAATGTAACTTCTATATGCCCCGGAGGCCAAAAAAATCTATGTGGTCCTTACTCTGCTGTGGTGTCTGGAACCCAAAATACCGCCAAGGTCTGCCTGTACTAGTTAGTTATCAACCCCTCCCTCCCTTTCTCTCCGACATTAACACGTTTTAAAAAATTAAAAACATTTAATTATGTTAAATCCCAGCACATAAAATATATCATCTCGACCATTTTTTAAGTATACATTTTAAAGAAGTGTCAGGAGGTTCACATCATTGGGCAGCTCCTCTCCAGAACCTGTTCATCTTGCAAAACGGAAACTCTCCCCTTAAATGACTCCCCACCCCCACCCCCCAGCCCTAGACACCCATCCTTCTAGTCCCCGTCTCTACGAATTCGACAACGCTAGGGACCTCACCTAGGTGGAATCATGCAATATTTGTTTTTTTCTTTCTTTTTCTGTTTCTGCTCCTTAACAGAGAGGAACCCCTTTCAGTATCTGTGACTGGCTTAATTTTCCTTAGCATCATGTCTGCTAAGTTCAGCTTTCTATTTTTTTTTTTTAAAGAAGTGTAAGTAGTTAAGAGACTTGTCCAAGAACACACAGTCAGGAAGTGCCAGGCAGGGACCCGAACCAGCGGTCACTTTGGAGGTGGCCCCTTTCTCCAGGGTGCTGCCTGGTGTCTCTGAGGACACCGATCCACCAAGTGGCCCGCAGCACATCAGCTCTGCCAAACGTCCTCAGTACCTGGGAACTGACCGGAGCCCGTGCGCTTGATACACCCGGAATAAGGCGGTCTGTTTCACAGACCAGAGTTCACTCCTAAGTGCCATCCAAAGGGGAGGCAGGCCGGGGGCTGGCCTGGGGGTAGAGAGCGGGTGAGTGGAAATTTGAGAACCGCAAATAACAACTGTGTGACAGAGAAGGTTAACTTTTTCCCGTAACTACTTCTGAGTCTCCACAAAGTTGAGTGGAGCCCCTTAAGTAAGAACAAAGGGGCCAAAGTAAATGACTTCAGCAAATAAAGGTAAGTAAGTGCTCAGGCTCCTGGGTGAGGGGGTGGAGCAGAAGCAGCGCTTCAGGACCTGCAGCTGAAGGGGGGTCTTTGGGAAACGAGCCTCCAGCTCTGTCCCTGTTTCTGGGTGGGAAAGAGGACAGGCTCCAGGCCTGGCTGTGCCACCTACCAGCCTGCGGCCTTAGTTTCCTCCCCTCTAAGATGGGGACTTGAGCGCACTGACCTCAGTGGGCTGCGGGGGGGTTTCGGTGACTCGGTCTGTGTGAAGTGCTCAGGACAGAGCCAGGCACAGAATCAGTGACTGGGGAATTGTCAGCTCTTCTTCCTCTGACCAGCCTGGCTCCCAGACAGAGAGGCTACCTCAGGTGACTCAGTGCATACATCTCTACTGAGCACCCCCCACGGGCCAGGTCCAGGACACTCGGGGACGCGTCTGAGTGGGTCCCACCAAACCCACAGTCTTTCTCAAAGAAGAGAGGAATCCACATGTGCCATGATCGCTCTTATGTGTAAACTGACTCATATTTCAGGCAGGCCTCAGGATCTCTTCACGGGCCAAAGAATGCACAGGGGTGCTCTTTCCCGAGCGTACGCCGGAGTCTTGTGAGTGATGCCGAGCAAGGCCCGGGAGCCCCGTGGGACCCTCGCAAGGTGGAAAGTGGGGACCAAGGATCCAAGAAGGCTTTTCATCCCATGGGGGGGCCACCTGAGGTGAACTGCTAAGCTTCCCTGTGGCTCGTGGCGCCCTCGATGTAAAACTGAGTGGGGAGAGGCCACCCTAGCCCGGGGCCTCCTGGGGCTGAGAAACAACCCAGCTCTGGCTGCTTCTCCCTGAAAAGAAATAGAATGAAAGGGGAGACCCTTTTCTTTTCAGAGCAGTAGCACCATTTGCTGAAGTAAAATGTTCTCCTGTTTTCCAGAGTCCTTGGGGAAGGGGCGGGGTAGGGGCGCTCTGCAGGGTGGCCGAATTTTCCAGGCGGCTGAGTGTTTAGAGCCAGTCGATACCGTGTGCCTATCTTTGTGCCGGACATGGTGTGTGTGGGGGGGTATTTTGTGCAAAGCGCTGTGATGCCTAAGTGTCAGCCAAGAGGGGGCTGTCGGCTGGCAGCCCTCCCCAGAGCAAGCGGCTTCAGCCCGCTAGGAGGCAGAGATACAGACGCTGCCACAGGGTAACGCGTTGGTATGATCTCTACAGCATGGCGGCTGTCACCGGAACAGAACTGGAGATTTAAAAGCTGGATTAAGGAAAAGCAGCAGCTTTCACCACGGGATGTCTGAGATGCGGGGACCACATCAGAGACCTTCCCAAGGAAATCATGCCTGGGACTTTTCATGGATTTCTCATGACGCCACAAAGAGTGTCAACATCCACAGTCGTGCGTGAAAAATGCAAGACTAAGTGGCCTCCTGACTTGGAAGCACCTGCCGAGACGTCAGAAGCTAAGCTCTTGTGATTCTACGCCTGAAGCCATCAAACGTCCTACCTGGTTTGCTCTTTCAAGGTCCGTCATGATCATTTCAATTTCGTCGGCCCTGGGAAGGCGAGAGGGAGAGAGCAGGTTAGTCAGCAGCGAGGCAGGCTCGGGGGGACCGTGGGTCCGAACTGGGCAGGGGACCAGCAGGCACTCAGGCCAGGCAGGGTCCCCGTGTCGGGGGAGAGAGGGGCCACGCAGACCTGCGAGGGGCCACCGCCACCCATCAGGAGGAGGTGGGCTGGCATCAGGAGGAGAGCCAGCTCACCCTTGAGGGGTGCCCACTCCCTTTGGGGAGGTGGTGCGTCCTGCAAAGAGAGCAGACACAGCTCTGAGCAGAGTGCTCTGGAAAAACAGGGGCGGCAGAGATGAGTTCTCCTTTGAAGAAGGAGGAAATCAGGAGGACTCAGAGGAGGTGATGTGTGAACTGGGTTTTGAAGGATAAGTAGAAGTTTGCCAGGACACTGAGATCAGTGAGGAGGTGGTGGTAGGTGGCGGAGGATGAGAATGCCGGCTGGGGACTCTGTGGTCCATGTTAGACACCACCTGGGTCCCCCCTCACCCAGCCTGGTCACACACAAGGGTTTCTAGGTGCTTTTTATTCCTTTTCTTTCTTTTTTTTTTCCTGTTCTGAAAGTACTTTCTTGAATAATTTGAAGGCAAAGATATGCTTCCAACATACAATATCACGGGAGAGAAAGGAATGCTCAGAGTTCTGCTGAGAAGGACACAGTCAATTCCAAAAGTCTAGCAGGTTTGAACAGAACACCCAGGGAAGTCAATGGCTGCAGACAGGTCCCGATGACAGCCCCTGTCTGGAGGCCAAGGCCGAGACTGGCTGCCTGAGGAGGGTTCAGCCCACCCAAGGGAGAGAGGATGGAATGTTACAGCCACAGATCAGCTGGGGTGGGGGGCGGGTGCAGGGCCCCCTCCTACTGGGACTGCCTCAGTTCACACTCCACACTGACCTGGGCTCACTCTGCAGCCTAGAGGGCTCAGTCCTGCTCCCACCCCTCCTCCAACCCTCCCAGGGGCTCCATCTTAGGAAGCAGCACAGACCCCACCATGCCTCCAGTCTGTATGTCTCCTCCATCCCTGGTGCCGCACAGGGCTTGGCACTGAATTGGAGGCCAGAATCCCAAACGCAGCCCATCCTGCCAGTGACGGGTGAGTCTACCCCTTAAGGCAGCTCGAAGGTTCTCCTGTCCCCCAAACCTGCTTCTCTGGTCCTAACCACCCACCCTTAATACCGAGAGTGGGACAACTACTCAGGACCCCGCTGGTCTGGTTTTGCTATCTGCTGTGTCCTGAGCTCCCTCCCTTCGGCCCCAAGGCTTTTAACTGCGCCCTGCGATTTGAGGCAATCTTATCAACTCCCAGCAGCCCCAACGGGGTAACAGATGCCTGCGATCAGGTTCACTGATCACTGTATCTGTTTGAAACAGTATCCGGCCTTCAGACCAGTCTGAGAAAAGTCCAAAACAACTCATAAAATGGCCTGCTTAACTGAAGCTGTTTAGGATGACTTGGTGAAGCAGGCAGCGTCTCTAAGACAAACACCCAAACTGGGCCCCGCAGTGACATGCTGGGTGCCGGCGGGCAGCTTAAATTACAAAACATCTCACTGCACCATCTCAAATGGAAACCTCCAAGATCTCAGAGAGAAACTGCTGTGCCACGGAAAACACGGTCCAGTGACTCCAGGGGTAAAACAATCATCGAGAGTGTGAAGGTCTCCAACGTGACAGAAAAGGGCATCTGACACTCTGGACAGGAAGCTCTCCTGACAACTCGCTGATGGAGCACCAAACATCATTGTGTACGAGAGGAGAGAAAAAGTTAACAACCCTCTCTTAAGCAAATCACAAGTTTAAAGAATTTTTTTTTTGTGGCAGGGGGAGGTAATCTGACTAATTGATTGGACAGAGGTACTGGGAATTGAATCCAGGACCTCATGTGAGCTACGCATGCGCTCTACCACTGAGCTACACCCTCCCCCATCAGATCACAACTTTTAAATGCAGCTCTGAACTTTAATCAAAGGTTATTCACCACATATTTACAAAGTCCAGATTGACACAGCAAACCTGCTGGCTGCCAGCATCATGCATGCGCTCACTCCCTCGGTCCATGAGCATTTCCCAGCACCTACAAGCTTCTTGGTTCCGGGCACAGGCAGACAGGGAGCCCACAGAGCCTGCCAGGGTCGCCTGTTTACAGGATCGGGGAGCTGGTGGCTGCAGAACCTGGTAGGTAGACGGGGAATGGTCTGGGCTGGGGGAGCACAGACCCCGAGCACGTGCTTTGATGAAGGTTTCCCTAATCTCTCCCGTTGCGTCCTCCAGGAGTCCTTTCATTTTTCTTTAATTCTTTCTTTCTGGCTAATTTATCTTCATCATCCAGATAT